GGAAAAGCATGAGATGAGAAGTAGAATAGCACATACCTCAGTTTCTTTGTCAGTATTGATAATCCTAGAGAAATTCTTAAAACATCATAGTTCGCAATGCAGTGTGACTTGTTCAATATATATATAAAAACATTCATTCTCAGCATAATTAACTACTTGTTTTGTGGCACAGTAATTGTCTGTGCTTATTATTGCAGTTATAACTGTTAAATTTGCTCCGTCTTTGAAATTGCTCCCTGGATAATTCAGACCAACTCTGTTACGATTCCAGGCGTACCAGTCAGCTTTCCCTGATATCCCCATTGGCTACTCGGGACATGAAACTGGCATAGCCATTTCAGTGGCAGCTGTTGCTATGGGTGCTAAAGTACTGGAACGCCATGTGACTCTTGACAAAACATGGAAAGGAAGTGACCACCAGGCGTCCTTGGAGCCAAATGAACTGGCTGAGTTAGTGAAAGCCATCCGTACAGTGGAAAAAGCAATGGGTTCTCCAGTCAAGCAACTCTTGCCTTGTGAAATGGCTTGCAATGAAAAGGTGACTCTTTGTTTTGATTCATGTGTAGTTGTAATTAATGTAGACCTATAGCTAATAGCTGTATTCAGATAATACCTTGCTAATTGTTTATTGCAGCAGTGATTCTGCCTCTGCACTCAAGAATTTTTGCTGCTAAGTAGCAGCAAGCACAATGTGTGTGCTTAGTGCACTGTAACATTAGTTATGAAACCTGTCATTTTCTATAAACCAATGTTTCTGGCAGTCAGTTTTTATCAAAGCATAACGTTGGCAATTTTTAGTATAATGGAGTTCTGCATATATCATCCAGTGGTTAGCTAAGTTGAGTAGCATCATAAAATAAGCTAGTTTGGAAAAGACCCTTAAGATCATTAGTCCATCCATTAACCTAGCACTAGTCCAAGTGCCACGTCTACCACTAACAATTACCCTAAGTACCATGGCCACACATCTTTTAAATACCTTCTGGGATGGTGACTCAACCACTTCCAATACCCAATTTAAACCTTCCCTTGCACAACTTGAGGCCATTTCCTCTTGTCCTATCTCTTGTTACTTGGTAGGAGAGGCCGACCCCCACTTTGCTTCAGCCTCCTTTCAGGTAATTGTAGAGACATGAGCTCTGCCCTCAGCCTCCTTTTATCCAGGCTAAACAACCCCAGCTCCCTCAGCTGCTCCTCATAGGGCTTATTCTCTAGATGCTTCACCAGGTTCCTTCCTTTTTCTCTGGACATGCTGCAGCACCTCAGTGTCCTTCTTGCAGTGAGGGGCCCAGAACTGAACACAGTACTCAAGGTGCATTACTAAGTATTGGTAAGTACTTAGTAATAAGAGTGATAGGTCTTTATGACTGTATCCAAGTTGCTTTTACACTAAGCTAGAATAGTAGTCAGTCTAATCAGATTCCCTCCATTCTGATTCTGAAAAATTCCAGTGAGCTATTATCTGATTTCAGAAAGTATCTGGATCTTCCTACCACTTTAGTGACAGTGCAGGTTTCCAAGTTCAGTCAACTTTCATTTGGAATATGAAGTAAGGAGGAGGGCAGTTTCACACAACCTGTTTCCAAGTAGCTGCAGAAGATTTTTTAGCCTTTTTTGGTGTACTAAGCCTAGGAATGTGTTTGACTTAAACTTTTTTTTTTTTTTTTTGTCTCCACTGTAGCTGGGAAAGTCTGTTGTGGCGAAAGTGACAATTCCTGAAGGTGCGGTACTGACACTTGACATGCTGACAGTGAAAGTGGGAGAGCCTAAGGGCTTTCCCCCAGAGGCCATCTTTGATCTGGTGGGCCAAAAGGTTAAAAACAAAATCGAAGCAGATGAGACCATCACTGAGCAAGCAGTGGAAAATCATGCCAAAAAAGTGAAGTGCTAAACCAAAGTATTCCATTCCCCATATCATGAGGTAGTACTGCATTACTGCACAACGTATTTAAGTATAGCAGCATGGTAGATTAGAAGAAGGGGGTGTAATTAAGAGGATCCAAGCAGGTTAGAATTTTCAGGTTCTTATTAGCAGAAGTTTCTGCAACAACTAGGTATAAATTATGAAGAGCAATTTGAAACCATGAAACATTGTATGTAGAAAATACCATGCTCCTCCTTTCTCCATTCCACATAATGCAGATTAATCTGGTGTTTTGCCAAATCTAAGACCACAGTGCTGCTTTCCAGCTTCCCTTTTTTTCCCAGGATGCTAGGGTGAGTTGAATGCACATAAGGGAAAATTTACATACAGTGAACAGAAAATGAAATGTTCAATGTGATGAATTTTTCTCATGATGAAAGTCTGAAGATAAAAAGTCTCAAGATAATGCAATGGTCTGCAGGAGACTGCACTCTCTGGAAAATGAGCTTCTTGAGAAAGCTATGTTCTCAAGAGATGGGACAAAAGGGAAGCAAACAGGTTATGTAAAAAATCCCATTTAAGGGGCAAGAGAAAGAAACGTTTTGTACTTCTTGTGAACTGAAAGGCAAGAGGGCAATCCAGACAGATTAAGGGTTGGGAAGATCAGAGATGGATGGTGGAACTAACCCGGTCTTCAAAAAAGAGTCAGAAGTGTCTGTTGTGAGTTGAGTGAAGCCTGAAATGTTAAATCAGTTCTGCAGTGCATTTGGCTATCTCTCTTCATACCTGGGTGCAACTTCTCAGGTAGGAAGCCAAATGCTGGTAAAGATTCAGCAGCCTCCTCTTTCTACTAATCAAATAAACTGGTTGGGTTTTTCCCCTCCAACACTGGTGTTTGAGATAGCTGAGGCTAGCTGCTTAACTAGATCACAGGACTATGGTTCATTGTGATGGTCAGTGCTGCTCTTGTGTGCTCTGCTCTAGCATCACAGCTGCTCACTTTTCAAGTAAGAAAGGCAATTCTTACCCTGTCAGCTTGCTACTCTTCCAGTTCTCCAGGGAGAAGCTGTATGGCAGGACCTGCATACCAGGCATCCTTTCATTAGTTTGGATAGCACAGAACTGCTTTGGTATAATTAATCTGCATTTTTCTGTGGTGGAATTATCTTCTAGTAATGATTATTTGGAATGTTCTACCTCTTGGTCATGAGTTGGTGAAGTATCTTGAATTTGGCCGTGGTGTTTCTGTACCTGTGAGCTGTTTAATTTCAAAATGTTTACCCTTCTGAAATTCTGAGGAAACTGTATTCATATCTTTAAACTGGGGAGGAGAGGTTCTTTGAATCATGCTTGACCGTATGTGAGCTCTGACTGATCCAATATGCTTGCCTTACATTAAAAAACTACTCAATTGTTAAAAAGATTTTTTTATTTCAAATTTGAAAAATAAATTTAGCTTATAAAACAAACTGTTGTTTTTGCATTTCAGCCTATGGTGAGACTTTGCTTTTGCCAGCACCGGTGATGATTCCAGGGCCTTTAGTGTTTGAACCCTGCAAGATTACCTGATGTGCTTCAAGTAGCAGTGGTTCTTCACTCCAGCAGGGCTGGTCCTAGGGGCTGCTGCAAATGTAGGCTCCAGAAATTTTCAGGGCACAACTTTTTTTTTTTCCCCATACATTAATTATCCCAATACTGAAACTTGCAAGCTATTTCTTCTAGTTTTACATGAGCATGCCTTTATCCCACAGCAGTTAAAAAGCCTTTGCAAATAGGACATTAAATTAAGCACAATGTCCTGCTGACCTAGTGGTTTTATTGCATTTGTGGGTCCTCCAGGCATTTCCTCATCTGCTGGAGGTGGTAAATAATTGTTTATGCTTCCACTCTCTGTGGGAAGAACAGGGCCTCCCAGAAGCCCAGTTCAGTCTTGGTCACAGGTAAGAGCAGTTAATGGCTACAGAAGCATGTATTTCAGCTTTACTTGAACTTTTACAGCAGTCTGTCCCAGTCTTTGATGATACTCAGGTGTGATCTGATTCACCCAGTGCATGTATTATCCAAATCTGATCTTGTCAACTATCAGTATGCAATATATGAACTTGAAGCTTGAACAAACTAAACCTACTACCCCACATACAATTGCAGCCTCTGCAGGCAGATGAGGGGAGAGGGCATAAAAAAGACAGCTGTGTTCAAATCTGAGTTGCTGTAGGCTTCTTTCAGCCAGACTATTTCAATTTTGCAAGTTGAAAAAAAAGTACAAAAAAAATTTTACATGGCATGTTAGGTGGTATATCAAGATCATTTATAAAAGCCAGATCACCTCCACCAACTGAAAAATGCATCTACGTTAAATATTACAGTTGGTTTTCTTGACCTTAACTATTACCTTCTAAAAGTATCATAGTTACAACTTTCATGTCAGAGATTAGTGCAGGTAGATCACTGCCCCAGGGGCTTTCACAGAAAAAGCCTGAAACAGGAGGGTTTATTTTGCCTTGGTCCTCATGTTAGTTTGCGTATGGCAACGGACCCTTCCCAGAGCCTCACAGCTGGGTAAACTGGTTCTGTGAACTTGCAGCGGAAAGTGTGCAAATGAGCCATGCCATCAGTGACACTGTAGAATGACAGGATTCCTGCTTCATAATCCAGAAAAATGCCAATGCAATCGGGATCATCTTCTACCGCGATGGGGATTCTGTCCCCCTTGTGAAATGCCCAGTATTCATACTCAAACTTCTTCAGGCACCAAGACGCTGAATTCCAGCCCAGTCGAGAAGTTTCAGATGAGGGGAGAGGGCATAAAAAAGACAGCTGTGTTCAAATCTGAGTTGCTGTAGGCTTCTTTCAGCCAGACTATTTCAATTTTGCAAGTTGAAAAAAAAGTACAAAAAAAATTTTACATGGCATGTTAGGTGGTATATCAAGATCATTTATAAAAGCCAGATCACCTCCACCAACTGAAAAATGCATCTACGTTAAATATTACAGTTGGTTTTCTTGACCTTAACTATTACCTTCTAAAAGTATCATAGTTACAACTTTCATGTCAGAGATTAGTGCAGGTAGATCACTGCCCCAGGGGCTTTCACAGAAAAAGCCTGAAACAGGAGGGTTTATTTTGCCTTGGTCCTCATGTTAGTTTGCGTATGGCAACGGACCCTTCCCAGAGCCTCACAGCTGGGTAAACTGGTTCTGTGAACTTGCAGCGGAAAGTGTGCAAATGAGCCATGCCATCAGTGACACTGTAGAATGACAGGATTCCTGCTTCATAATCCAGAAAAATGCCAATGCAATCGGGATCATCTTCTACCGCGATGGGGATTCTGTCCCCCTTGTGAAATGCCCAGTATTCATACTCAAACTTCTTCAGGCACCAAGACGCTGAATTCCAGCCCAGTCGAGAAGTTTCAGAGTCTCCTTTCCTGCCGATGGAAGGGTAGGCTGCACCAATCCACCATCCTGCTCCAGCATGGAGCAGGTCAACTTCCCAGTAATGGCTCCCAGAAAGGAATGCATCTCTGCTTAGCACTTGCCATAATTTATCAAATCTCTGGGGACCACAAGGGTAAAGTATCCTCCTCCAGCTGCAGCTCACTGCAAGGCGGTCATCAGACAATTTCAGCCTTGGGTGAAGGCTGTCGTATTCCCAGGTTGGTGATCTTGCATCTGCAATCAGAACCATAAACACACTTACTATGTTTATCACAGCTCTTGAAAGCAGCACGAGTTAACAAAAAACTGCAAAGGCAATGTCTCGGAACCTGCCATTTTGCAAGGAACAACCTGACATTTTTAACAGAAAACACTGAACTCGCTGCACTTTTAAGCTGCATAGCCTTTAAAGCAGGTTAGTATGTAAGTCAGTATGTGCACGGTTCACAAATTAGAAGATGAGTACAGCTTAGCAGGGAAAACGCTGAAAGCTGCTGCTTTATGCAGAATAGTTAAGAGAGTGGGATTACAGCCTAAGGGTTTTAGAGAGCACTGGAGTGAACTCAGGTTGTGAGATCCCAGTCTACTGAAATCCCATTTGAAGATGCACTAAGAGTGCTTCTCATGGAGCTCTGAGCAGCAGCATCATGTACATTGCAAAAGAACAGTTTCCCAGCTCCCACAGGATTTACAGCAGTTCACCTAACCTGACACTTAGAAAAAATCACAGTCTGAAACTACACACTAGGAATCACTGTCTTATTAAGCAGCAGCTTAAAATATTGTTACCATGAAACAGCCACCACAGGACTGAAAATCACAAAGCCAGGAAAAAATATAAAAAACTAAACAAGTTGTAATGACACAATCACATAGGATAAGTCAAAAAGCTATAGGATTTTTAAGAGGAGGTTTTTCTCTGAAGATAGTATCCTATAGCTTCAATACTGAATTGCTGCATGTCTCACAAAAGTTTTCATAATACACTCATTTCAGTAATTTCCTGTGTTAGTATATGTTTCCTGAATTCACGTTCTAGAACTATCCAAGATACTCCCTTTGAAAACAGGATCTGGCATTTTTAAAGAATTGCATTCACTCTTTCTGTCAAGCCTGATAAAACTGGTGTCAGAGTTGGGTACCTATGAGAACAAAGAGTGTTATGAATTACAGTACTGCTTGGAGTACTGCTGTAAGATGTAAACTTAACTTTTATCCAAATACTGAGCATATCTATTTTTTCTCCTGAGTGAGTAATGAAAACAAAGTGTAACAATACATCCAGACAAGAACTAACAGCAGTACACTTGCAAGAACAACTGCTGAGTCGTATTTTGCTCATAGCTGGGGCTGTTGGTTTTTTTTGCTATGATTTTAATCTTAGATAAACTTTGAAGCTTAGATGTTTCAAATGCCAGATGAAAAATACATTTAAGTTGCCTTTCAGAGTAACTTCCATTTTAAATGAAAGTTAGGGAGAGAAGTGTTGATAATACTTTAAAATCCAGAGTGCTTTGATTTCTCTGCAGTGTTGTGTATCTGAACAATATGTTTGGATCTGTGGTCTCAGAGTACAGTCTTTCTCTGTGCTTTACAGGCAGCATAGTACCAAATGAACACAAAACAGGGAGCAACAGACCCATTCAAACAAGAAATTAAATATTTTCTTTCCTCTTTGGTGTTGAGCTTAGAAATGAAAGGTAATTATATAGCAGGTTGCCATGTAAGAGAAATCCGTCTTTACAACTGAAGTAACTTGTTGCTCTTTTGACTTGGTTGCTGTTTCCTCTCCTGTGCTCCCATATGGAACCCTCTCCCATAAATTAAGTATGTCTGTCCTGCACTAGCTGGCATATTCCATAGTCTAAAGCCCAGAGGCTGTTTTCATTCAGGCTGGAATCCTCTTCTCTGCTATCAGAGCAATGTATAAGCCACTCAATTTCCTATTGGTCCTCTGTTGCCTTCCCACAGTTCCCTGCCATGAGCAGGGAAGGCTAAATAAGTTGTCCCACAATTCACTGTGAAAGAACACAGACCTCTCACATTAAGGGAGGGTCCATTTACCACAGAGTTAATTGCAACAAAGACCCTCTATGCTCGTTGGTCATGTTTCAGAAAATAAAGTAGTACACATGCATTATACCTATAAGAATCATCTGGACCCCACATCTCCTTGCCTTGCTCTGGCATCTAACACCAGCTATGTTTAAAACAGAGTAGCCAGTGATTAATAATTATCAGTTGTTTTGTATACAACACCTTACTAACAGACCATCTTCATCTGTGCAGGATCACTGTGCACACCTGGGTACCAGAAATCAAGCAGTTGTTTTTTTTGAGGCAAAGACATATGGAGCGAGTTGCTGGTGTATGAAATGCATGTCATGCTTCTAGAGGGCCCACTGCTGATAATCTGTGCCCTGCAATCTGCACCGCATGCTGCAAAAAAATGTAGATGCAAATAGCACTGTACAAGCAGTGAGTGTTAACTGAAGCATCTAAACCATTCTCTAAACAAAAATAAAACTTTTATTATTTTAATTTTGGTATTATGTCTGTCAACAATGTTAGGACTTTGAGTACCACTACAGGGGTACATCTCCCACATGCAACATCTTAAAGCTCTGATCTCCACTACACTTTAGTTGGAAAAGCTCTTATTGGCATTCCTGTGATCTGAATAGGTCCAAAGTCACATCTGTATGCACAGCTGATGACAAAAGACAGGCAACAGAAACTATTAATATATGTAAAACAGCATGCTACAGGATTTTATCTTGTAAATGATTGACTGTCCTGAGTCTTTGTTCCAAGCCACTTCCAGCAGGTAAAGAATGGGGATGCTAATTTTGTAAAGAACACAGGTGACACCAAAAGACATGTGAAGTAGGGAGGATTTTAAAGGCCTGGCTTTAGTGTCTGTTTCTTCCAGTAAGCGCTTGAAAAGGTGCAATGATAATGATACTGATAGTAATAATAATAAATAATAATAATAACAACAACAAGTAGTAGTAGTAGTAGTAGTAGTAGTAGTGGTAGCAGTAGTAGTAATAGTAGTAGCAGTAGTAGTGATGTCTGACAGTGAAATATGCCTGAAAACCTAGATTTTTGTAAAATGCATAACTACTCAAGCAAACGGAAATGCCTCTGTTGCTTTAGAAAGAGGACAAAAACCCAAGGACTGAACTGCATCCAAGTGTTCAGAAGCCTAAATGTGAACTTGACTAGAAAAAGAATGCAAAATACCTAGAGTTGTCTGGATTATTGGAGGACTGCCAATACTTCCACTTTTCCAAAGTTATGAAAATTTTAAATTACTTTTAAACGCAAATATTTATGACCAAGGTTTGTCAATTTCTCTGGCCTATGAGTAGCTGCACATCTTTCTCAACGAGGTCCTTTGTCACAGTTTGCTTTAACAGAGTTGAGAAATTGCCTTTTCAGCCCTTAAAGTGACTGCTGACATGTGAAGGAAAATACAGTGCTTTCTGCATGAATCCATTGTGAAGCAGCCTGAGAATACACAGGTCATCAGGCATGAAACTCAGGAGCCTACTTCACTGCCAGCCAAATGCTGCTGCAGTGCTCTCATAGTAGCAAGCACACAGTGATGAGAACTAGCTGTCCCAGCACCTGAACAGGTTCCAGTTATAAACTCGGTTTGGATCCTGCAGCACAGAAATGGTGCAAGTGGGAAAGAGCCATGACATCACAGCTGAGACGACAGACTTTGCTCATTGCACCCCTGATTTATTAACAGCTGTTGCATTTAAAAATGCAACACCTGTTTTCTCATCTCCAGTTGAAATAACCTGTTTGTAATGAAAAAGCTGCAGTGTTTAGACTTGGAAGCTCACTCAGGAGAGCACAGGAACAAGAGAAGATAACAACACTGAAAAATGCTCTTCTCAGAACACAACAGGGACAGGATATAAGCCACTCTACCAGCTCCGTGCTGTTCCTTGTCCTCCCTACTTATGTATGTCAAATGTGCACTTGGCCACAGTCATGACCTCCACAGGGATGGATCCAGGCCAGACAACAGGTCTGCTCTTACAACACCTACCATGGCTATAGGGAATGTTACAGCTTTGAGATTAAACACAGCTGCAGCCCTCATCTGTTGCAGGCCACATGAAATGTCCATGAGCCTCCCACCAGAGAGATGAATGTACAATTCAATGTATATCTCTCCTATCAACACCAGAAGAAAGGAGCACTTGTTGACTGACCCTTAAAACATTACATATTGGACATATAATTAAAGACAGACCACAATAACCTGGAGAAAAGTCTTCAAAAACTAAACTAGCCGCTAGCTGATTAACACACTAGCAGTTCTGAATAAAAACAACGACCAAGATTTCACAGACAAAAAGTAAAATTTCTTTCCCAATGTGAGGTACAGAAGAGGGTAACAACTTTCAGGCTGCCCTCAACACTTGATCCCCCTCAACACTGTAAACATCAGAACACTTTCTAAGGTACCATTTTAAGATAGTGACAGCACATACTCATTGACTGTTCCAGTGACTTCCAGCTTCTAACTTTTGTTTGACTGTACTTACGCTTTAAGAAAAGAAAACGGTCAACAGGAGACATGGTTTTCAACACTGTTCCAGGCTCCTTCTTCGCAGTGGCATTAAGGCTACTGAAAACGTCTGGGCAGAGATGAAAAGGGAAAGTTTAGGGAGTTTTGCCTTTTTGGTGTGAACTTCCCCCATGTTCCCTGGGAGGGTCATACTGTCTCACTCCATTTTCCAACTCCATGGAACAAACAGTGGTACTTTGGCAGTGGAGGGGCTACTCTACCCTGCATGCTTTCAACCTCATGTTCTTTGGACAACATGGAGATGTTGGATCCCAGTGTTGCCAAGGAACTATGCAACTGAGCCCAACCCCAAGAAAGCACCTCCTATTCCTCAAAAACACCCTCTATCAGACAGGAACAGAGTCAGGCAGCTGAAGACAACTGCAGCTGCCTACTACAGAGCACCTGAATGGTACTGCCTAGCAATTCCCCACACGTCCTGCAGTGGCCTTTCAGATCTGGTCTGATGATTTTCCCCAGCACTGTGCTGTATTGTTCTTGATGGCAACTCTCTGAAAAGGGATTAAAAGGTGCCTGGGTGAACTGTGATGGCTGGTATTGGCCTGCTCACCTGTTACCTCAGCAAGGGGCAGGGTTTCCCCATTTGGCTTTGTGCATCCCATTAGGTAACTCTGCCTTTATCATGCCATAGGTCACTTTAGGATGAACTTCCAGCTCTAAGACAAAAAGAACTCCAAGCAGAACATGCTAGCCCACCTTTAAAGTACCAAAATGCAGAGAATTTTTCAGACTTCCTGAGATGGAAAGATCACCAAGTAGGTCAACTAGAAAAAACTTTCAAATTTTACAGGTACTCAATGTTTCGTGCCTGCCAGACATCCTGCTAGAGCACTTACACCAAACAGTGACTGAGAGAACACTTACATTGTGTAGGTGTGGTGGCCTAGGGATATAAAAGCATGATAAGCACTGCAAGAAGAAATAAGCACTATTGAAATAACTGACAGAGCTGGAAATAAGCATCAGACCAACTTTAAGGCAAAAAAGGCCATCTTTAGTGTTGAAAGAGAAATTTCTTATGTTCCTGAATCACCACTGCTATAGCAATATTCCCCCAGTGCTGTCAGAGAACAGTGCTCATGACTGAAAAGCTGCCATTTTCTCCAGCTGACAGAGTAAAAAGTCCTGCCCTTTCTTACAGACCACACTTCATCTAAAAGGAGAGCAGGAGAAAGCAACATTCATGACACCATGTACCTTCTTTAAGCCGGGCTTCTAGTGGCTTCTGCAGAATGGACTGAAGAAGTGTAATGAAGTGGTGGTAATGATTAAGGACGTGGTCAAAGGAGAGAGGCACTGGATGCCACTGCTCCAGTAGGCGCCGCCTGTGCTCCTGCATCTCCTTTGCAATGTCTGTGTACTTCTGAGGGCAGAAAGCCAAATCCTCCAATTAACAGTGACAGTGACATGAATAGACTCTTCCCTCCCAGCTCCCACAGACCAGAGAGCAAGAACAGCTCCAGCCTTAGGTAAACATAGAGGCCATTACAGGCAAGCCTTGCTGTGATCAGCCAGCCTACTAGCTCATTCCCCTGCCCATTATCTCCTGCTGCCAGTGGAGCCAGAGACTACTCTAGAGATGGAGAGCCCAGCAGTCATGGATAAAACAGGGCTCTTCAGGACATTTCAAGATGGGAATGAGTTTAACCTAGCTAGGAGCCTTTGTGGGAAATCCCAACCATGAGAAAATTAAACGACAAAGTTTTCAAAGCAATCTAATGAATAAAACCAAACCTCCCCCACAAAAAATCTCTCCAAAACCATGAAGGGAAGCTTCCCATGTGGAAATAGGTTCCTAGGACACACAGCAGAATGCCAGGGCTGTATCACTCACAACACTGCAAACTCTCGAGTCTGCTAAGTTGCAAGGATGTGAAAATATACCACAGGCCTTCCCATGAGGAATGCCAACCTCTGGCTTGGGTCAGGGCAACACACCCTTCCCAAGGAAGGTGAAGAAGATCTGTAGGAAAGAGAGGCTGACACTTATCTGCAGACAAGAAGAAAAACACACCCCCCTCCAGTAAAATGATGGCTATTGCTCAGGGTGATTAGGATCTCTTGCAAGAAATGAGACAATTCAGCCTTCCTTCTAAGGTTCCCAAGAGGGCTGCCTTTCCTCAGACCTTCATATTGCACTGCACAAGAAAAGACTTGATACAGTCTCTGTCTTCAAGATTAAGAGACATCCATAACTGTTTCATATATGCTTAAAATTAACATTAATTTCATACAGACATGAAGTCAATGCCATAGCAAGAACAGCTGACACCTCAAAAATCAGGAACCGAACTGGTTCACCAACAGAAAGAAGATAAAAAGCAGTGAGAAAAATGCTGCTTACATACAGGGAGATATACAGAGGAGGTCACTAGATCACTTTACCAAGGAATAGAGAATAAGAGGCATAAATAGGCTGTAAAATACCACCTCCAGCAACTCAACAGGATCACTACACTGTTGTATTTGTCTGATTCGATGTGAGAAGGTGTCCAGGGCTGCAATCTCTTCTCGACAGGACTCCAGCTGTTGATTATGTGCTTCCACAGCTTGCTGAGTCTTCTCATCAATGTAGTTTTTTGCCAGGCTCTCCTCCTCCCGAAGCAGTAAATGGAGCTCAGCCACTCTGTCTGACAGCTGCCTTTTGCTCATAATGGCATGTGCCTATAGATTAAGCAAAAGAGTGTTTCCCGCATAATCAACAGACCATAAACATTTCAGGTATTTCTCTCCCAGGCTTTTAATGTTATGTTTTAATTGAATTTTACTGATCTGCTACATGACTTGAGAAACAGCTGTTTAACCCCTAAAGGGGTGCAGCCAGGATTTTACAGCTGACGTGCTGAATGAAAAATCTCAAGGGCAGATTCAAGATGCTTATTTATGCAGAAAATTCTGTTTTCAGCTGGAATGTAACAGGACCAGGGACTAAATGCTACAAGCAGAAAACCTGTGCCTTCAGTAGGTGGACTTCACTCCTTTTTAAAACAAGCTAGGGACAGAAAGCTGCTAGGAAAAGAAAGCCTCCAAAACAAAGTGACAGCAAACCACAATGTCCCAGCCCTCTACAGAGCTCCTTCCAGCTCTTACTGACTTTTCTGTAACAGAAACAGAGATCTTAGAGCAAAAACTATCATGCTCTACAAGTGAGGTGGAGCTTAGCATACATTCCCATCCTTAAGACAGAACAATAGGACTGTTCTTGTGCTTACTGAACTCTAAAGTCAGCCTATTAAATAATGCAACATACACCAGTGAAGCCAGAAGAACACTGTATGCTGCTGGGGCTATTTACTACTCCTCTCCAAAAGAAAATTAACATTGTTCTTCCAGGGAGTTCTTCCATTGTTCTGATCAGGGAGTGAGTGCCACACTTTCAGAGACTCTTACCCTCTTCTCTCCCTTTGATATGCTGTGATGCATACAGAGAATACACACTTTTCTTGAGAAGCAGTAACTGCCTGGGCCTTTGAATAGCTACAGAGAAAGCAAAATGTGTCTCTTTGGAAAATGACCACCCAGTGGAGATAGAAACCACGCTTTACCTTCAGATCATTAGCAGCCTGTTCTACACTCCTTCTGTTAACAGCTTCTTGCTCTTTTCTGTCTTCGAGATCCTTCAAACACAATGCCATGAGTTCCTATACAGCAAAGAAAAAGAAAAGCAAAACCAAACACAGCTTCATAACATCTGTGAAAAACAGAAATCAGTATCCACCTTGCATTCCATGTAGGGGAGTATGCTACTGAAAGAGTTCATGAGGCTTATTAAGGCCTGTGGAGATGAAACAAAGGATTTCAACATTTCACCTGCTCCTGGTGATTATACTGGCAAGATTCAGACAGCTGTACAAATCAGTACCACCTTCATAAGAACAGGAAAACCTACAGTGAAAAAAACATTTTTATCTTTAAATCTATGGCACTATGCATTTCACTATGCACATTTGTGCATTTAGCAGCTGAAGGGCAGCAAACCAAGGACTTTTATTCAGAGGATCAGTGGGAGGCCCTGTCTATAGTGTCAGAATCCAATTCACATCCAGGATGCTTCCCAGTTTAGGGAAGAGCAACAGTTTGTATTTCTGACATGCCTCCTCTGAAGACACATGCAATTTTTCATTTGATTATGACAAAGTCAGAAGAAAACAGGCTCCCAGCAAAAGCCAGAGAGTCTAAGTCTGGAAGTCCCTTGGCACAAACACATCCATGCTAGCAGACAAATTTTCTTGCATGGAGTAAGACACTCGTGTTATGCTGCCCATTCCAGCCACAGATTCCCATTCTTGTCCCTGAAGGACCAGAAGGGTTCTGTACCATTTGAAAATTCAGGAGTCATTCCAGGTTACCAGCCTTCTTCAACTTAGTCTGCAGCCTAGACCTCATTCCCTTCCTCGAAGACTGACCAAGACCAGGAGCAGAACTCAGCCCTGCTTCTCTGCTAGTAAAATGCCTCAGGTACTCGCTCCCTCACAACATCCATCATATGCAAATACTTCTGCCAGCCCCAAGTGTTTCTGGTTAAGCATTACTTTCTTTACTGAGGTAAAGAAAAGAGCTAAGAGCTGCTACCAACACTGGCAGATAATCCGTGTCATTCACCCTTCAGAACCAACTCCAAAACCATTTCTTTAGGGATTGCCTGGGTACCCCAACTCATGCATGTGAAAACACTGTAAAGAAAGGATTAGAGAAATTAAGAGTCCTAGCTCCAGACAGGCTCGTGGGACATGAATCAAGAGCACAGCATGCTGACCCTATGTCCTGCATTCAGGAGCACAGGGAGTGTCCTTCCTTTATACAATCTTAGATCCCAGGAGGAACCAGCTGATGGACCTCGCACAATATTTCTCATATCTTCTTAGCATCCCCAGCTAGGATTTGCTAAAAGCACTGAGGAAGACTCTCAGGCTGCCTAGTTGATATCACGTAACAAGGGCTGCACAGAGTAACTGCTTCCAGCAAGCAAAACCACTGGTCAAAATATCATCTCTTAGGTTACAAACTACTTCTGGTAGTTTATGCCTGAAACCTCTGCAGTCCTAAGCCAGGAGATGCCACCAGGGACTTTCTAGGGGTAGAGTGACACTCTGGGACACAAATTTCTATTCTGCTCACATCCTCTTTTGGCACAGGGACAAATAACTAGTTACCAATAGCACTTGCTCCCCTCTGTCCAGCAGACCCCTGGGGAACCAGCCCAACTTGTTGCTTTCTGCGCTTTGCGCCAAATCAAACCATGCAAACACTGCAGTGAGTTCCCAGCTGCAAGAGGGCATGAGAGCACACCAGCCAGCTGCAACAGTGCCCTGTGTTGCTCTGACATCTTTAGTGCTGCTGTTTACTTGCAGCCTAGTGTATTGCCCTCTGCTCTTCTACTGCTCTCTAACACAAAGTGCAGTAACGTGCCAGAGGAATTTAGCATGACCCGTTTATGTGCTCCCATCTGTGGGAACTAGGAAACTTCCTAGTAACACTGCTCCAAAACACCAGAGGAGTGGGAAGGTGCTTCCTGAAAATGTGAAGAAAAAAAAAAAAAAAAAAGCGCCTGAACATCAAACCTCTGTGTTATTACTTTTTAAGCCTCCCAAGCTTAGCACCACAGAATGCAGGCCTCAACAAGCCTCCTGGCAGGCTCTCTGGAGCAAAACAAAGCACCAGCAGGAAGTGGTGGACAAGCTTGCCAAGATTCCTGGGGCTGCTCAATGGACAGCTAAACATGGATGGAAAAAAAAAAAAAAAAGCTTAGGGAAAAACTCCTGTGTTGGTTGTGGCTGGAATCACAGAACCTTAGGG